TGCCAGTCGGACTAATGCCATTCAGGCACATAGAAAATGAGTAAGTGCTTTTTTAAGGATGTAGGTAAGTGGGCTTTTTTAAAGGATGAATTACAGGCATCTCTACCAGGATACACATCAGGCATTCAGGGGAGCTTAAAGAAAATGCTGTGGATGAGCCTCCAGGCAATTCCATGACATTCTGATTGTGAAAGAATTGAACAGGGTAACACTGGAACTTCCAGGCATCCCTTCTTGGGCCTCCACAACCACTTCTACAAAAAAGGGGTGTTCAACCACAACCATTTTGACATACCATTCTGCTGGGTAATGAGGGAAGACTAGAGAATTTAAATTTAAAATACTGATCAATACACAAAAGTTGGGACATAAGCATTGTATTGACTGTGGAAATTTTGTCCCCCATTTTCCTAAGTGGAATCTTTGGTATCCTTTTACAAAAACAATATTCCTGTACCTTGGGCCTCTAGAACATTCAGCAGCAGATAACAAATACTGTGATGAGTACCAGGCTCTTTCATGCATGTCCACCACAGAGCGTGGCTTAACAGAAGATGGAAATCCCCTGTTTGCCCAAGACAAGTATTTTCCAGAAAAAAAATCATAAAGCTCCAGTAAATAAATACCTGCTTCCATTCTCAGTTGAGCAAACACAAATGTTTCAATTCTAACTGTTTGGAAAATACCCATCATCACTTCAGTTCTATCACAATATTTTCCACTGGGTATTTTTTTCCTTTAGAATTGATTAAGGTAAGGTACTTCAAGACTGCTAGCAAACAAACAAAAACTAAACATTTCTGCAGACCCAAGCTTCAACAGTGCTGCAGGATTGGTGGGGTCAATAAAGCTGTATAACACTCAGCTCTGAGATTCACCTCTAAAGAAAATTTGTGACTCATTTTCTGTGACAATTTTCCATTCTATAAATGCAGATATAATGATGTACTTGTGATCAGCTCACTACATAGCTTGTTGTGAGAGACAATATGAAAATGAAATGTTAACATAATTAGCTTTCTGTTGAAGGAGATCGTGACAAGATCCTTTCACTGAAACACTGAATAGGAACCATGCAGTTTCAGAAGCATAAATCTGAATTAGAGGATGAGTCATCAGTACATAGCAATACTACCATGAAAAATGTTTCTGCATCAGTCATGAACAAGGTAAAAACTGACTTTGCAGATCTTAGAAAGCAGCAAAGCAAAAAGCACTAACTACCAGATATGTACAAATTTTTGTTTAGTTTTTTTCTCTAGGTGAATGATTGTATAAATGAATGGTGAATAATTACAGACTAGGTGAATAACTGAAGAACTCCACGTGTGGTGAACAATGACTATTATAGCAACATATTCAGTGATTGTGGCAGTGTGGTCATGTATGTTTTGAGACAGAGTACTTACATACACACTGTAGTAATGTCAAGAAATAAAAATAATCTGTTTTAAAAAATAACTTAGTCAGTGTAGCAGAAGATCAGTTTGTATTTGTTGTTCTAGTCATTGCAGATTTCGAAGACGTAAGGGGACAGAGAAAGACTAGTGCATGTATTCTCTAACTACCACTTTTCATGGTTTTTTCTGTGTCGTTAATGTGCTGTAATATAGATCACATCAACCTTCTCACATCTCCAGATCACAAGTTCCGGAGCTTCATTTTTTTTTCAGACAAAATAGATCTAAAAGGTTTTGTGTGGAGACCTAGTTTTTCATTCAGAGACTTCATTCAGCTGCACAAGCCTTATGAGTTAAAGAACTCAAACTCTAGAGTATTTACTCAAGTGTTTTACACGAAATCAGGGATGAAATAGCTGAATTACTAAACCAGTAACTATTAGTCTAAAATTGCTTAAGTGTCTCAGGACTAGATAGTGGCAAATAATCCCAGCTTTTAAAAGTAGGGATGAGGAAGATTCGTGGACCTGCATCAAGATTCAGTTATAGAGCATAAAAAACCAGCAAAAAATGATGAAGTGCAGAACCCATGAACACCAGGATAAATGCATGTATTTGGTGGGAGTCATCATGTGTTTTGTAAAAGTGATTCCCATTTTTCCATTCCGATGAAGTTTTTTTGAAAGGGCTCTACAACAATGTACCTACAAACTATTTGATGCAGTCTAATTCCCACTACTTTTCAAAATGGAATTGAAACAGAATAAATTTTATAAACACATTTGTACAGTAACTATAATTTCTGCAAAAACTTTTGACAAAGTCTCTCAAACTTCCAAGAAAACTGAGCTACCATATTAAAAAAATTGCACTGAAACTTTTTTGTAAGTTCAAGCGAGTAGACAGTTGATACATGAGAGAAACAACATCAGCAGTATTTCCAAGTAATCTGCTCCAACTTCTATCATGTTCGATAAATGATCTGTTCATAAATGATCTGGAAAAGTAAGTAGCTACTGAGGGATGAGGGCAGTGCAAATAATAAAATTTGAAAAAACCCAACCTTGAACTTCTTTTAATCACTGTGACTGCTATACTGACTTTCACTATAGGCCCTTATCCTTCCAGAGGCAGCAATGGAGAGCCAGCTTGTTGAGGAAATTACAGCCCTGGGGCTATTTCTTTATTGGAAAGTTGGGTGCAAGACTGATGACAAGTTCAAGGACTACTTTAAGTTTTCCAATAGCTGTTTGTCAACACAAGCTGATTACATAATATAAACCCACTGCTTACTTTTATAGGCCACTAAGTATAGCTCTTTAATGCAGCTCAGTAGCACATGCCTAAGACAAATGAGTCTTTCCACTAAGGGTTTTGCTTCATAAATTTCCTCTTGAGGGACTTAACTGCTCCATGACTGCATGTTCAATAAAACTTAATAAGGAATTCAAGGCTCTAAGAACATCTTGGTTGATTGATTAATCAACTATTCCACAGATTCACAGAATTGTCTGGGTTGGAAGGGACCTCTGGAGATCATCCCATCCAACCCCTCTGCCAAGGCAGGGTCACCTGGAGCAGGTGACACAGGAACGCATCCAGGTGGGTTTGGAATGTCTTCAGAAAGGGAAAATCCACAAGCTCTCTGGGCAGCTGTACCAGGGCACTGCCATCTTTGTAAAGATCCCCCTCATGCTGAAGTGGAACTTCTGTTTTATTTTATGGCCACTGCTCCTCATCTAGCTCATGGGCACCACTGGAAAGAGTCTGGCACCATCTTGGCACCCACCTTTGAGATTTTAATGTGCATTAATGAGATCTCCTCTCAGTCTTGTCTTCTCCAGACTAAGCAAGCCCAGCTCCCGCAGTCTCTCTTCATAAGAGAGATGCTCCAGACCACTCATCACCTTTGTGGCCTCCACTGCACCCTCTCCAGCAGCTCCTTGTCTTTCTTGTTCTGAGGAGCCACCAACAGGATAATAAAGAATTGAAAAACTACCCATCAAAATACAGAATTTTAAAGAACACTTTAAGATAAAACAATCAGATGGAGCAAAGAACAGCACACACTTCTTCAGCATAGACCAGTTTTTCCATAGGCCGTTGTACCGTGCTGGAGGGAAGCGCACATCTCAACACCTGCCTGGGGGCAAGATTTTCATTTTACTTACGCAAGTCCCTACAGCTGCAATCGCAGAGGTACCTGAGCGCACGATACGACGAGCCAGCAACAGCAAGAAGTGAAACCTGTCACAAACACGGGCTGGGGACAAACAGCAGTCACCTGGCAGCTGGTCCCCGCCTGGCGACCGGCCCCGAGCGCGTCCCACCGCGGGCACCCCCTCACGGCCACCCCTCACGGCCGCCGGCTCCGCGCTCAAACGGCCGCCGGGAAGTGACGCATGACCAGAGGTCACGGACGGGAAGCGCTTTTGGGCCCGGGGACCGCTTTTTCCTTATTTTTTCTGTCTTCCCCGTCCTTCCCGCCCCTGGCCCCTCTTTCCCAGGAGCGAGTTAAAAATCATCTTCCCGCCTGGCCGTGCCTCGTGCCGATTCTTGATCCGCTGGAGCGGGCAGGCTGAAGGAGCCAGAGGGGCGGGAAGGGGGAAGCGGGGCTGGGACCGGAGGGAGGCGAGGATGGCGCTAAGGGCCAGGCCGGACGGGACAGTGCCGCCGGCTCTCAGGATTGGAAGGAGCGGTGAAAGCCGAGGCGAGGGGCCGGATGGCCGAGAAGTTGCACGGGCAAGCCCTGACTACAGCTCCCAGCCTGCCCTGCCAGGGTGCGGGCGCCGTGCGGCAGCGGGAGCGCTGGCGTGGGCACCCAGCGGGACCGGGGAGCTGCTGCTCGGGATACACCACACGCCCGAGAGCAGCTCAGGCGCGGATGAAGGGAAAGCAGCCGGGGCAGGGAGTGGAGGCCGCTAAGACCCCTCACTGCCACAGTCGCGGGATCGCTCTGTCTGCTCGCGGCCATGGGCTGCACGCAGGGGGCGGGCCTTGCGGTGCCGGTGCGCCACTCTAACTGGTGCTCATGGCTGTCTATCAAGGCGGCCGTGCCCTCCGATTGGCCGCCGCCTTCCGGGCGGGCTCTGCTTCGCGTAAGCGCCGAGCGGCATCACTCCGCGGCAGCGCCGGGGGGAAGGTGCCGCGGCGCTTATTGGTTCGTGTACCCGTCCATCATTAGCGTTCCGCGCAGTCATTGGTGGTGGCAATCTGGGGGCGGGGCCTCTCTCCCCGCCGCGGCAGTAGCAGGAGGAACCCGGGCGGCGCTCGGCGCTGGGTTCGGCGCCCCTCGTGTGTGAGGAGCCGCCACCCGCCGGGCGCGGTGTCCCGGGAAGGAGCCCGGGTACGAGCCCGGGAAGGAGCGCTCCGGCCCGGTGAGGAGCCCGGGATGCCGCCGGGGAAGGCGCTCCCGCGGGTGGGGGTCGCAGTGCGCTGAGGGAGGAGGGGGGGCCGCGCCCGCAGTGCGCAGAGCGGGGGCAGCGCTGAGGGGAAGGGGGGGGGGCGCGGCCGCGGGGCCGGGGAGTGCAGCCCAGCCCGGCCGGGGGTCGCGGTCCTGCGGGGCGAGCACGGCCCTTCCCCTTCCCTAATATAGCCAGGGCTGGCCGGAGTGGGGCACAGGGCTGTTCACCTATTATGTTTTCATTTTCTTAAAATTTCTGCCGCATGTTGGATAATTTTGCATGTGGGTATATCTACCATATTATAGTATAAAGTGTAAGTAGACTCGCGAGTAAGCTACGTCACAGCCTGGTTTTTACCATGTCTTTTAAAAACGTTTTAAAATGAGTTTTCAGCACCGAAGAAGGTTTTCGCTTCATGAGGAAAATGGAACGAGATAGAAAAAAAGTGAGGAATAGCTGTTTCTTACATGGACTCTAAGAATTATTCAGATTATTCACGTGAAGAGATTTGCACGCATCCTACATGTTGGTGGGATTTGTGTGATGTCCTTAGAAAGCTGGATTAGGAGGGTGATGAAAAAAAACCAAAAAGAGCGGTGCACACGTTGCTTAGAGTGCATTGCTACATTGTACAGTCTACCATAGCGTTTGTTATCTTGGAGTGGTTTTGCTAATAGTCTTAATTTTAAATTTTGATGCCCCTCTCTCATTGACCTGAAACCGAAGAGATCTTGTGTGCCCAAAGTAGAATAGGGAATGTGTTGGGTTTTTTTCTCTTGCAGTGTCTGATACTGGCCTTTTTTTTCATTGAGGCATTAACCTGCAGTTTTTAATGGAGTTGCTTTCTCGTGTCTTGTCTTCCACAAGGAGTAATGTATTTGAGACATGCTTTTTGACTGAATATTAAGCAGCAATTTTACAGAGTAGTATGTCTTGTGAATATTAGATTAGGAATATTTATTTACTGTTGAAGTGAAAGGTAAAATGAAGTTCTGATTATTTTTCAAAATGTTTTGTTCAAATAATTTGCTATTCAGGAGAAAGAAATGGTAATGGAAACACATTTTCTTTGACAGTCTCCCATTGGCTTGGCATGCAGCTGATATTAAGCCTTTGTTTTACAGTAAGTACTGTGATGTCAAGGGTTTGAGTATTTTATAGAAATTAAATAATTTACTGCTTGTACTCCTGCGTTTACCGAAGTCCCAATGGCAAAAATAATGTTAAGACTTGTGTCCATTTAAATCTTGTAAGATCAAAAACGTAGTACTTGTAACTGCATTGTTTGGCTACTCTTTATTTTAGAAAACTGTAAATTGCTATGAAGATCAGCTAGTACTTCTCTCGTGAGTAAAAATAGATTTGATTAAATATCAGTAATTTTGAGGGGTGTGCAGTGCACTGGGTTAGGTTTATTAGCAGTACTCCAGCAACTATTTATTAAAGATTTGGGAAGGGTCAGCCACAAATCTACTGCACTGATTGTCTGTATTTTAATTTTGTGTGTCTGTTAAGAGGAATAAAAGAAAAGTTGAGGAGACTGGTGCTACTGCTTTGCTCTTTCTCATCTTAAACACAATTCTGCCTCTTCCTTTTTCTTCTTTTAACTTGGGTTAAGTTTTTGGCTTTTATTTCTTCTATTTCAGTAGATTTGCCTTAAACCACAGTCTTTATTTTGTATTGCTTGCTTAAAGTCTGTGAAACTGCTTCAAACCAGCTGAATGGTTTAGGTCAAATGCTCTAGGCTCAGCCTTGGGTACAACACAAATGCCAGTTTATGCAGTTTTTCAGTTAATTCAATTTATTCAGATAAAGGTTTATTCACTTTGCTAAGGTGGCCTGTTCATTCAACTTCATGTCTTTGTATCGCCCCTTTCACAGATCTACTTCGCCCTAGAGTTAATTTGACTAAGGGATGTAGCACCACGTCTTTTTAAATAACTTTTTGTGCTTAAAGTTTCAAAGTGCTGTGTTCTAGCCTTTTAAAGGTAACTGATACAGTTGCGTTTTTTGGACACTTTGGGGAAAATCGACCTTTTGACACCGTGTTCTCTCAGGATGAGTTGTCAGATAGTGGGGCAACGTGAACTTTGAATTGGCTATAATGTGGCAAACAGTCCATTTTATATAAACCTTTTAAATATATTGACAGCATGGTTCAGATTTAGTGAGCTAGACAACTCTATGGTCTAACTTTTACTACCGGGATAAAAATACGAACCACCTTGGATGTCCTGATTAGTTGCAGTGATTTGGAACTGAAATTTTTCGGCGTGCTCAAATTTTCATTTCAGAGATACGAAGAGAGTTAAGCGGTAGCCAGTAAATACAAAGTGCTGTAATTCATGGGTGTGACAGCTAAGGAGCTTTCCATAGGAGTGGGAGAATATCCTGTAATCCTGGCATCACTGGGCTCCAGGACTGCAGAGGTGTGTTGAGCTCAGTTGGGCTTTTAGTGCAGTTTTCCCGTGACCATCCCACCTAGAAATGGCCAGCTAGGAATGACCCAGGGCGTTTTGTTAAACGCTGCATTCCACATTGAGCCTTTTAGTGATGGAAAGAGGAGTCGTTTGGCAGTGCAAGACCTGAATAATAAGGTCATTCACACCGTATTCTTCAGGCAAGAAGAATCAATGGTGTACCTCAATGTGGTGCTTACTCTGGTTGATAGGTAGCATCTGTGGCCGCCCATTAAAGTTGGGGTTGTGTGGTTCTGGGTGTATCCTCCTTGAATTTTCCTTGAGGTGGTGGACGAATGTGCTGTTTAACAATGTTAGGAGATTTTGGAAAGCGATGTTGGTAAGCTCTCTTTCTGGGAGATGGTAAGTCAGCAACAGATTATGATTAAATATTGTTGGGAAAATGGCACTTTGAGCCTGCCTGTAATCTTATTTTGATTTCATAACTTGCTGAAGGATGTTTTAGAGGAAATAACGTCTGGAAACAGATTTATGAAGGGCAGCAGCCTTAATTACAGAACAGCCTGTGCTGCTACTCTTGTGCATAAGTTAGTCTCCTGCAGTTTAATGTATGTATTATGAGAATCCTGTCAACCTGTCATTTTTTGATGTGCGCTTTTCTCCAGTCTATAGAATTATGTTTCCAAGAATATTTGGTTATTGTACATTTGGATCTAGACTGCTGAAGCAAAGTGTAGTTTTGAGATGGCTGTGGGATGCTTATTCCAAGGTTTCTTTTCTACTCCTTATCTTGGATCTCTGTAAGGAAATGGGGCATTACCTCTGAGCAGCCATTGGTTTCTGCATTAACAATTATATACTACGTTGTTCACCTATCTTTCTTCTGGATGATGCTGAATTTTTGTTCTTTATTCTCCTTCCCAACATCAGTTCTTATTATTCTTTAATCTCTAACTTGAATTTGTGTATAAAATGGAATTCTGTCCCTTATTTAGCACTCTTAACTGTTCTGCCCCCCCCCCCCTCAGGTTTGTTAGCAAGTGTACTGCCATGTATGAAAGATCTTTGTACAGTTGTGTACAGAATGGTCTGAAGACTGAAGCTTGTCAGGACAAATGCCAAAATATCTTTAAAGCTGTGACTGCATAGCATAGCAGGGTTGCTCTTTCTTTCTGAAAGCATAGTTTTGGATAACATGCATCTCTGAGTCAAAAAATAACCTCTAAAAGGCATAAAGATAGAAGATCTCATCGCTGGATTTGGTTTAGCAAAAATCCAGTCCTGAGTTTTGTACTTTTCTAGAAAATGTTCTATATAATTGGTTAGCACTAAACCTACCACAGTTGTCATAAGAATTGCTCCCAGCCAAGTGAGGTGTGATAGGTTGCTGTAGGTATCCAAGTAGAGCATTTTAATTTATGTTAAGTAAAGCAAAACATAAATAGATGCAGTCCTTGCAATACCTGCTGCTGTGAAAAAGGCCATCGCGGTGCCATATCCTTGGCTTTTTGTTCCTGCCCTCTGCCACCTCTGCTCTGTTTAATGAGCTGTTACTGGGAGCACTTTCCAAACTTATCTGTGTGAGATGTAGGTCTCTTTTTCTATCAAATTGAAGCATCTATTGGGAGACTTGGAGGAGCAGTTTAACTGGCAGATGGAGGAAATGGTGACTAGAAGTGAGATCAGTGACTTCTTTAGTGCAGCTGAATCTGGAAAAGGCTGTTGGTGTGCAGCTGGTGAGTGAAGTCTGAACTAATTTGAGTGCTTCTGCCAACAGCAGATTGAGGAGTGTTCCCATAGTCCTTTCTCCTGTCAGAGCTTTGGGCATCAAAAGCTCCTGCTGGTGCTGAGAAGCTGGGAGCAGTTGCATCATTGACCAATGCTGGATCCACGAGCAGATTTCCATCTGTTTTCATGTTCTAAGTGAACTCGGAAGAATTTGGTATGTTCTTGTGGAGATACAGCAGGAGTTTTGAGAGGCGTTGGAAAATTGCTGGCTTAGATCAAATGTTCAGTTTTTATACCCTAATGAGGCAGTAGCAAAAGTAAATCAGTAAATCAGTTTGTGGGGAATTCTTGTCCATGTTACCACAGCATGATTTGAAGCATTTCAACAGAAGGTATAGAAAAAAAGCCTTTTTCCTTTAAAGTATTGTTAATACCTTGATATTTTGGATGAAGAGCTCCATTTCAGGTTCAATGTGCTCTGTAGGTGTTTAAAAAGAGTACGACTTGCTGCTAGGATTATAATCTTTTTTCCCTTTGTTTTTTAATCCATTAAATCTATTCCATAACGTCAAGCAAGAACTGAGTTTCTGTCTTCTCTCAGATGTAGCTGGATTGGTTAGCAAAGCTGCACACTTTGGCAATACTTAGACTCCAAATAAAACCTGGTTTGCCTTTTTCAGTTGATGGGTCCTTATCCTTCTTCCACTTGGAAAGTCAGACTATTTCTGAACAAGAACTTGCCTAATGGCTTTCCAAGGGAAAAGCAAGGGAAACTGAACAATTTTCTTGTGTTAGTGATTGTTGCACATATTTTAGTGGCAAAAACTGGGAAGATGACAATTAGCTACTCCAAGGATCTGCTGATAATATTTTTACTGTTAGAATTGACTGTAATGAGTCCTTAATTTTTACTTGTAATGAAGATGGCAAGTTATTAGTCTCTTAGTTTAGGTGTTGTGGTTTCTTTGTTTCAAGCACATCAAAGTGATCTTTTATGCATTTTCATTGCACTTAATCTCTAAAAAGGCTTCTAGCTTCTTGTTTGTCGCACATTGCGTTATTATCATGGAAAAATAAACTGCTTTTCCAAGGGTTTAAAGCTATACCACAAAGCAGTGCCAGTATTGCTCTGAGATGTTGTCCTTGTGGTGTGGATTGGAGGAGGAAAAGGACTCCCAGTACTTGGAAAGCTGTTAAGTGACTTTATGGAAGCTGCTGTAGGAATGCTACTGCAGACTTGTGGTCTAACAAAAGGATATGAATCTTTCACACAAACTATTGTGTTAACTTATAAAAATGTTATGATGTTCATCCTACTACTTCATGTGGGGATGTTTTGTTTCCCTCTAGTTTCAAATATTGGCTTCTGGAGAGGAACACTTGTTTTTATGTGAACTTGTTACTGGGTGGGAGAAGGAACTGAGTCCAGACTCTGCTTATCTAGTGATGAATTAAATAGAGAAATATAAATAATTCCATGTTTTGAGGAAGATTTCTGAGCCTCAAATGGTACCATTAGACTGAATCTTAAAGCAGTAATATGAAAAGATTAAGTGGGCTAACTCAGTTAGTGCAATGTTCTAACAGTTGGCTGTTCATCGTTGACCATGATGACATGCCATTAGTTACTACATAATCTTGTATTTCCTGACACTGCAAAGTTTGATTTGAAAAGCACAAAGAGCAGTAGTCCTTATTAAGACCTGCATATCAAAATAGTAGTGGAAGCTGTCCCAACTCAGAACACAATCAGCTTTTTATCTGGCCTTTTCTGTTGAAATATTAGACAATGTTAAAAACTGGGTTCGTGTCTGTCTTCCTTGGTCCGTAACAGTATGAAGGCTTAAAATTGTAATATTCCATAAAGATCAAGAATTATCATTCAGTAACTCTTTTTCTTGTCCTGTTTTCCAGTATGCAGTGAAATATAGACTACTTTTAAGCAAGAGACAGTTTAGCTCATTTTTAACATATGGAATAATTGGGGATGGGAGATCTTGAGAAGATTTTTCAGCTCTGGTCAGACAATGTGTGAATTCAGGCGTGGTTTAGATTAGAGGTGATGATTCTAAATTGTATGGCTTGACTGAGATCACAGGGATCTGATGGGATTCTTTGTTGCCCATCTGAGTATTTTGTGTCTGCATCTCCAGAAAGGCAGCAGAGTGTCCTGCAGGCCTGTGTCACACGTGCCCAGGCTGGGGCTGTGTCTGTGATGAACTGGCTGCTCTTGATATGAACAGTGAGAAAGTCCTGGTGCATGACGTGAGCAGCCTCAGCTCTAATCCTGCTCATAACTTATTAACCTTGGGACTCTGCTGTTTGCAGTATCAGGAGTTGCTTTCTGTGTCCTTATTTTATTCATGTCTGCACATGCTGCAGTTACCTGCAAAAGTAAACTTTTGAACTATGTTTGGTATATATAGGTTAGATGTAGGCATGGCTTCTGTGAGGAGGATGGATTCTCACATATGTTTGATGTTATAAGACAGACTCCCATATAAAGCGTGGGAGGACATAAAATTGATTTTAAATCATACTTTGAAATCTTTAGAAATAAAGTACAAGTAAGTGAACTTTTTCCAGTTCCTTTCAATTTTAGGGAAAAATTCTTGATCTGAAAGAGGCTTCTTAGCAGGCTTTTGAAAGAAGTCTGATGAAAAAAAAATATTCCAATTGTTTCCCACTGAATCTAGGCCACCCAGGTACCTTGTATTAAATAGCAGTAATTATCAATAAAATAATGGAATGTTTGTGGAAAGGATGCAGCTCATTGTACTGTGCACTGCTTGAATGTGCCTGAAGACTGAAAGGAGAGACTGGGTCATTTAGTCCAGTCCCTTCTTGCAGCAAATAATGCTTTCATAACTGTGTCAATCTTTATCTTAATGTTAATTAAATTGCTAGTTCTCTTCTTGCATGCTGAACAGCAGTTGTAAAATCTGGTTCTGATATCTACTGGCCTCCAGCCTCGCTGACTGTAGGAAACTTACAGACACATGGGTTAGTGGCAAAGTTTTCCTCTAGAATAAGTAGCTCTTCTACCCATCTGTTATCTACTGCAGCCACATGAAATTAAGTTTTCCATACAAGTTTTTATCAGTGCAAATACCATTTTCCATATAAGGCCTTACCAGAGCTTTATTAGAATGGTACTTCTGTAGCTTTTCTGAAAATAAATTGAATGGTAGTTACATCTTTAAAATTTGAATTTTCTTAATCTTCATTGTCTCTGCTTTATCAATTTCCTCTATAATACTACATGTAATTTAAATAGATTA